AGGGTTTCTCTGTGGCTTTGGAGGCTGTCCTGGAACTCGCTTGGTAGTCCAGGATGGTCTCGAACTCACAGAGATCCGCCTGCCTCTGCCTCCCGAGTGCTGGGATTAAAGGCGTGCACCGCCAACGCCCGGCGTGGTAGTGGTCTTATCCTTGATCAGTGGGATTAACAGTGGAACCTACTGTTCAATGGTACTGATGGGGGACGTCCTTCTGTATATCTGTTTCTCTTATTGGTTGATGAGTAAAACACTGATTGGCCAATAGCCAGACGGGAAGCATAGGAGGGGCTACAAGAGGAGGAGAATGCTGGGGAGAGGTAGGCGGAGAGAGGCCTCGAAGAGACGCCGTGTAGGATGGGACGCACCAGACTTCTCCGGTAAGATAAGGTCATGTAGAACCTCATAGATGAGCAGTTACGGGTTAGTAATTAAGAGAGAGATAGCCAGTAAGAAGCCCTAGCCATCGGCCAACAGTTTAATAATTAATATGTCTCTGTGTATTTATTTGGGACAAAGTGGCTGTGGTACCAGGCAGGACAAGAAACACCAGCTACAGGGTTCCTTTCCCATTTACTTGCATCATGGTGACAGGGGAGCCGGAGAGAGAGAGAGTCCTGTACTCCCTTCAAGGGATGGGGAGTTCTAGCCCTGAGTGTTCTTCCCTGATCCCTGATAAGGAAGTGGAAATTCCCCCCAGCCTCGTTATCCTTCTTACGTGGCTCCGTTGGAACTGGGACCTTGGCAAGGGCCAGGAGGGGCAGACCTGACGGATGCTTCAAGCCCTACCTGGGAACCTTTGACTTCCCTTCCTCTCCCATCACCTACTAGCAATCTCATTCAGACCTTTGACACAGCGGTTGGGCGGCAAGAGGTCTGCCATGAATGATTTACCTTTGGAGAAGGTGAAAAAGCAACGCAGCAAAATGATTCAACAGCGGGGGAGTAATAAAAGCCCTTTGCACCCCAGGTCTCGGCTAACCCTTGGCAGGAATAAACAGTGACCTCCAGCATGGAAGACTCACAAGGGGCAGGCGGGGCAAGCCCAAAGGCAGCCAGTCCCCGGTGGCAGAGGAGCTGGGCTCTTGACTCAGAGTTGGCACACCCAAGGGCTGGCAGACCCTGGACTGTGTACCTGGTTTGCGGTGGGGGGCTGCCTGTTCATTAACTAAGGGAGCTAAGCCAGAGCACCCCTACGTTCCCTTCTGGAACCATCTTTGTAGGGCTAGCCTCTGAGAGGTCGCCCCTTCCTGTTTCCTTGGCCTCTGTTCACACGGGTCCACGTTCTGACTCTCTGTCTCTGGTGACTACTCACACAGAAGAATTCTATAGATCTGAGGCTGAGGCGCTCGGGGTCCAGCCCCCCCCATCAAAGAAGCAGAGCTCCCCGACTCTGGGATGATCTGTGTAAGCCAGGAAGCCTTACAGAAGCACAGCTCAGTGTCTAAGCACCAGAAATAGCCCAGTCACCATCCCTATCTACCACCTGCTGGCAGGTGGGTAGTGGGCGGGACAATGACAAACTCCCCAGCGGCTTCTCCTTGGGTTGGGGTGGGGGAGACTGGGCTCCTAACGCCTATACCTGGGAACTAAGGCTCTGTGGAGGCTCCCTTTGCAGACGTGGGAAGTTACAGGACTGAAATGAAGACTCAGCTCCCACCCAGGCTCCTGTTGAAGTTGACTTCTCATTAACCAACTCCACAAACATTTACCAGGGCTAAAGGGGCCTCAACAGATCATCAGAGCTAGCTTTCCCGTGATTTATTAGGCACAGACCTGACATGATTTGCCCAGGTCCAGCAAGGGCACACATTTGGGTCCAACAATGCGGCATCCGTCTGCCACCCCACCAGCGACTTCGTAGGGTGGACTCCAGCTTTTTTTTAAAATTAGCATAAGGAAACTATAAAGCAGGAGAAAGCCGGGGTGCCCTGCCCTGTGCCTGCTCTTCCGCACAGGGATGATCTTTGACCCCGGTGGTTACAGGCTCCCTCTCTCTTATCTTACCCGGGCCCCTTTATCAGGGGTGGCTCACTCCTCCCAAAGACCAGGGCTGAGCAGGATCTGCCTCCCCTGCTCAGCTCCTCCGGGGCCCTGTCCCCAGGTAGCTCTACCCCTGGGGGCACTTTCCCTACTTGTGGCTTTTTACGGGCAAATCCCTCTGAGAAAGCCAGACAGATGAATGGAGTGTGCACGGAGAGCCGTGGATGATGAAGGTGGAGGAGGGAAATGGCCTGCCGCACCAGGCAGGGCTCAGAGAACATGGCCTCACATCCTGCCTTAGCAGCTTCAAGAAGTAGCTTTGGCTGGGCGGAGGGAGGTATTGCACGCGCACGACTTTAATCCAAGCACTCAGGAGGCAGAGGCAGGGGGATCTCTGTGAGTTCGAGGCCAGCCTGGTCTACAGAGTGAGTTCCAGGACAGCCAGGGCTACACAGAGAAACCCTTTCCGGGCGGGAGTAGGGGTGGGGGGTTGGGGGGGAGGGCGGGATGGTTTTGCGAGCGATACAATGAGATCATTTGGTTCCAGGAGACCATGGGGTCTGGAGTTATTAGGGTCAAAGCAGAGGCTCAGTCACCTGTCCTGAGCAAACAGAGAGCAAAGACGTTATTTCCTCAGTGTGCTCACACTGGGGAGAGAAGCTAATGATCGGTGCGTCACACACACACACACACACACACTGCACCCTCCCACTCCCACTCCCTATTGATCTGACTTTGTCTCCGGCTCCAGTCTGTGGTCTGGCCGATTGTCTGAAGTGTATGAAATCTCTTCCAGGGAGACACATTCCTCCCTCTGGCTGGGAAGAGGCCTCAGCCCCGCCCCTGCCTCCCCCCCATGGGATTCCCGGGAAATTCCAGTTCCTTGCACTCTGGTTTTAGTAGTCTGATAGCCAAGGGGCACACGTGTCTCTCTTTAGAAAGTATCTTTCCTCCTTCCCCTGGACATCCTTGGGGGTTTCTGCTGTCTTGCAGGCCTTGGGGCCAGATGGAGGCACCCCAGCTGCTTTCCCAAGCAGTACAAACAGATAGCTCCCTCCCTCCCTCCCTTCCTTCTGTCCTTCCTCCCTCTTTCCCAGGGACTTCCTGCCAGATGTTGTGCTAGGTACCCAGAATCAGAGGAGATCAGAGACAAGGCTGGGCCCTGCCCTCTGGCTCTGGAGTCCTGTAGGAGACAGAGTCACCGTATCTAGACACAGCAGTTCTGAACAAGACTACCTTGCTGAGGTCCCAAAGCCCTCATGTGATGTGACTGACCCACGGGACAGAGTGGGCTTTGCTGAAGAGAGAGTCTCAGGTTGCCCCCCCCCCCCCAGGGGCTCACCCCTGGATGCTGGAGTGAGGCTTGCAGACAGACAGAGGCTAGGGCAGGATCAGAGTGGAGGCCGGCGCAGAGCGTATGAGTCGTGACCCTCTCACTTTTGTTCTGTGAGTGACAGGTGGCCTGCCGTGAGACCGCAGCAGGAAGGACATTTGAGGTACACTGTGCATACACTAGGGCATCTCAAGAGCAATGGCAGTCACAGAATGGGCTTCTCCACTCTCTCTCCAGGCAGCATCCATAAATGGGGTCCCCCAGGTCAGCCCTTAAGCAAGGATGTACACATGAGGAAACGGTTGAGCTCAGGGTAAGGACAGGGACAGAAGGAAGGGGAGATGTCACCCTTGGAGCCCGAGAAGACATCATCCCAGAGAGAGGCTTCCTTGTAGCGTCTCTACCCTGTTACACCCCAGGTGAGGTGAGCCACCCTGGACCGTGAGTCAGGGGAGGAGGCTGGACGGGCGGGTGGGTGACAGGGCAGGTCACCCAGCATCCCCAGGGAGGGGAAAGCCAGTCCCCTGCCACACGCCCCCTCCTCCCAGAGACCGGCTTGCCCGCCCCCATCCTCTGCCTGCACTACCCCCCCCCATCTCCCTGGCTCGCAGAAGACTGCCACCATCACCATGGCTACGCCTGCTTCTGCTTCTGCTCCATGCTCAGCGGGAGTCAGAGCTGGGGGGAGGGAAGCCGTCTCTAGTCTTCCTGTTGAGCTGAGATCTCTGAAAGTCAGCTCGGGGCTGCACACTGTAAGGGTCACCTTCCACAGAAAGGACACTGACAACCAAACAGGATATCCTAGCCCAGGGAGGCTTAGTCACAGCCTGAAAGGATGTGTGTGTGTGTGTGTGTGTGTGTGTGCGGTCATGTGTTCATGGGTGTGTGCGGTCATGTCAGTGTGCATGCATGCATGTGCTTGCATGTGTGTACGTGTACATGTGTGTGTGCTGGTACATGTGTGTATATAGGTGCATGTTCACACGGAGGGCAGAGGACAACCTTGAATGTCATTCCTCATTCTTCAGGTGCTGTCTACATACATACATACATACATACATACATACATACATATATATATATATATATATCAAGGTCCCCACTGGCCCGGAACTTACCAAGTGAGCTAGACTGCCTGTGCACCAAGCCCCAAGTCCCAGGGATCTGTCTCCGCCTTCCCATCGCCGAGATTGCACACCACCATACCTGGTTTTTGTTTTTCCAGTGTGGGTTCAAGGGATCACATTCATGTCTCCACACTCGCAAGACAAGTATTTTACCAATGAGACATCTCCCCAGCCTGGCTTTTTTTTAAAAGTATGCATGCGTGGTGTGTGTGTGTGTGTGTGTGCATATATGTGTGTGTACCAGTGTGTGTTTGTGTGTGCTCTTTTTAATGTATCAATGCATGATGCACATGTGTGTTTGTGTATGTGTGTATGTATTCATGAGTGTTTATGTGTGTTCTTTTTAAAGTATCGATGCATGGTATGGGTGTGTGTTTGTGTGTGTGTATGCACATAAGTGTGTGTGTGTACACATGTTTGTGTGTGTTCTGTTTAAAGTATCAATGCATGGTGTGTGTGTGTGTGTGACAGGAGAGGGGGAGAGAGGGAGGGGGAGAGAGAGAGAGAGAGTGATGTTGCCCATCACCCACTGTGTGATTAAGGTAGGCTTAACACGGTTATGGCCGTCACCACCACGTTGAGGCTGCATAGGAATGGACTCTTATCCAGTGCCTTCCAGTTTCCGAGGGGATGAAGTAATACAAATTACTTGCGGAACCCTGCCTAGTTTCAGTTTTCTTGCTTCTTAAGTGAGGACAAGAATACCTACTTTTCAAATTAAATGTAACTCAGGCAGTGTTTGGCACACAGTAGGTGCTAAAGAAATGCCTCCAGGCGCTCATCGTTCCAGAGTTCAGGCCTCTCAGAGGGCGGTCTTCATAAAAGGCAAACTTTCCCTCAACCCTGACTTGAAGATGGGCAGGCAGGGCAATTCCCAGCCCCACCTCGAGTCTCCGCCAGGTGGGCGTAGCCCGGAGCCTCCGTGTGGAAAGACCGCGGCGAAGAGGAACCGGAGACCGCAGAGGAGACTCTGAGAGACAGGCTGCTGTGGCCGGGAGGATCTGGGAAAGCCTCGGGAGTTGGAACATGAGATGCAAAGGGAGCAGATGGAGCCTGAAACAGAGGGGTTATTTTGAAATACTTCCAGCAGCAGACAGGCTTGCGGGGGCCAAGCTCCACCCCCCTGCAGCGGAGAGCCTCGATGGCCAGTGACGTCAGCGGTAGAGGGACGCTGGGGTGAGGTCAGGATCTGCATGCTAAATGACCTTCCTCCCCTGCCTCAGAACAGGGCCAGGGGGCTGTTGTGTGGAACATTCCTTTACGTTTGCTGCAGAAAATACCCAACCCCAGAAACGGTCAGATCCATGCACGCATGTGTTCACAATGGAGGCGCCTGATGACCCTGGAGTAAACCCCACCCCCGGAACTCCAGAACTTCCGATGAGGTCCATCAAGATAGCATGGCTGTTCTCTTCCTTCCTTCCTTCCTTCCTTCCTTCCTTCCTTCCTTCCTTCCTTCCTTCCTTCCTTCCTTCCTTCGTCCCTCCCTCCCTCCCTTCCTCCCTCCCCCTCTTCCTGAGACAGGTTGTCGCCATGCAGCCCGGGCTAGCCTTGAACTCTCCACGTAGTTCGGGCAGGCCTCGACGTTTTTTTGTTGTTTTCGTTTTAAAATACGGGCTATTTATTTTATTTTGTGGCTGAGTGTTTTGCCTGCATGTGTGTATGTGCCTGGGGTGCTTGCAGACGGCAGAAAGAGTTCCACGCCCTGGAACTGGAGTCGTGGATATTTGTGAACCACCATGTGGGGGCTTCCAACTGAACCTGAGGTCCTCTGCAAGAAAAGTACCTTTCTTTTTATCATTCCTTCCTTCCTTTCTTCTTTCTTTCTCTCTAATATTTATTTATTTATTTTTTTTGACATGGGGTCTCATTATGGCTGTCCTGGAACTCACTCTGTAGACCAGGCTGTTCTCGAACTCATGGAAATCCACCTGCCTCTGCCTCCCTAGTGCTGGGATTAAATGAATGCACCGCCGCATCCGGCCCAAGTAAGACTCAACTGCTGAGCCATCTCTCCAGGCCCTGGTCTGGAATTTTTTTGGTCTACCTGCTTCTGCTTCTGTATGGGTTCCAGACATGCATCACCAACGGTTAGCGCGCTAGTCCAGGACCGCTACTGATGACGGTGTCACACCGACAGAATGGCACCGTGAAGTGGGAGAAAGAAAGGAGACCAAGAATGAAGAAACGAAAAACAAATTACAGCTGTTGTCTTGGGAAGTAAGAAGATACGCATCCGCGGGATCCGTGAGGTCGCATAAGTAGGGCAAGAGTTACTGGAAGTTAAAAATACGAAAGGAAATCTTCAAAGTCTGTAGAACAGCCTTGGAAGGTAAAGTTGGCGAGATGTCCCTGGCCTAGTTTCCTCTCTCTTGCTGTGAGAAAAGCCATGGCCAAAACCAACTAGGGAAAGAATGGGTTTATTTCAATTTGTACTTCCAAGCAACCGTTCATCATGGAGAGACGTCGGGACAGAAACTTCAAGGCAGAGAACCTCAAGCAGAAACCACAGAAGACTGCTAACTCGTTGGCTCCCTGGTTCATGCTTAGCTAGTTTTCTTATATGACCTAGACCCAACTGCACCATCTACGATAGGCAGGGGGTAAAGGAGTTCTTAATCGGTCTAGATAGTAAAAGACCAGAGTCAGATACAGAGGGAAATGCTGAGAGATCAGAGAGAAGGAGCAAGCCACAGCAACCTTACCTCCTTAGTGTTTCAGCAGAGAAGAGAGCTATTTCCTGTTTCTCCCTGCTTATATCCTGTTTCTGCCCAGTTACCTCACTTCCTGTCTGTCTGTACAGACCTCCAGACCTCTATGGTTAGCTAGTGATAGGCTCCATTCTCTGACCCCCGAGACAGACTTTATTTGTGCAAGAAAGATATCCTTCTTCACAGTGTCAAGATGACAAAACAAATACCCTAACTAGTACAGACCTTGAAGATAGATTTCCTAAAGGACGATAAAAGACAAAAATAAAACAAACAAACAAAACAAAGGCTAGCTAGGCATGGCACTGTCAGCACTTGTGAGGCAGAGGCAGGCGGATCTCTGTGAGTTCGAGGGCAGCCTGGTCTACAGAGTGAGTTCCAGGCCAGCCAAGGCTACACTGTCTCAAACAAAACAAAAATAACAATAATAAAAATCCACAAAAGTAAAACAAAAGAAAGCTTGTGATCTAAGGGGATGAGAGAAAGTTTCAGAAAACATCACGGTGTAGGCCCGGGGAGACTCTGGAATAATAGCACACCAGCAAAGCAACAGAACATTCATCCTGGGATTTGAGATCTCAAAAAAGGGTGCGAGGTTGACCTACAAGGTCAGAAGTAGCCAAAGACGTGGGTGCGTTAGAAAAACAGAAAGCAAAACATGAGGAACCATCTACTGCAGGAGGAAGGGTGCTCTGGGGTGGGATGGAGGGGTCTCTGGGGCAGGAGGAAGGGTAGCTGGAGTGAGATGGAGGGGTCTCTGGGGCAGGAGGAAGGGTAGCTGGGGTGGAGATGGAGGGGTCTCTGGGGCAGGAGGAAGGGTGGCTGGGGTGGGGATGGAGGGGTCTCTGGGGCAGGAGGAAGGGTGCTCTGGGGTGGGGATTGAGGGGTCTCTGGGGCAGGAGGAAGGGTAGCTGGGGTGAGGATGGAGGGGTCTCTGGGGCAGGAGGAAGGGTAGCTGGGGTGAGGATGGAGGGGTCTCTGGGGCAGGAGGAAGGGTGGCTGGGGTGGGGATGGAGGGGTCTCTGGGGCAGGAGGAAGGGTGCTCTGGGGTGGGGATTGAGGGGTCTCTGGGGCAGGAGGAAGGGTAGCTGGGGTGAGGATGGAGGGGTCTCTGGGGCAGGAGGAAGGGTAGCTGGGGTGGGGATGGAGGGGTCTCTGGGGCAGGAGGAAGGGTGACCGGGGTGGGGAATCTGCTCTTGTTTTATGACTTGGTGCAGCGATGGACAATGTTTATTTTACAAAATCATAATAACGGAATTTTACCAGAGGCTCATAAACAGTTATGTTGGAAGGACAGAGAGCACAGGAAGGGCTGTGGTGTGGACAATCTAAACTGTTTATTTGTGGTGACTGTGGCGGTGTACACCTGTGATCTTGGCACCCAGGAGACGGAGGCAGGAGGATAGAGAGAGTTCAATGGTTGCCTGGGCCACTCGCCAAGCTCAACCACTTGGGACTGCACACCAAGCCTCTAGGCCAGCCTGGGATATGTAATGAGACCGTGTTTCGGCAAATATATATAAAGATTTAGGACTATCCACTTGGTATGGTGAAAAGAATTTGAGTAAGTTCCTCGAGAACAGCGTGCCTTAGTTCTTAAAATAGAACTAGCAGCCTTGTAAGTGTTTGCTTCTGGGAACAACAGGAAGATGAGGTGGGAATGTGGTCAAGGGTTTTTGTACACAGCCTGACAACGTTCCTTAAGAATAAGCTGACCCGGTAGTGGCGGCGCACGCCTGTAACCCCAGCACTCGGGAGGCAGAGGCAGGCGGATCTCTGTGAGTTCCAGGCCAGCCTGGTCTACAGAGCGAGATCTCAGACAGCCAGGGCTGTTACACAGAGAAACCCTGTCTTGAAAACTGACAAAAGAATAAGCTAAGGCATAACTCTGTGGCAGGCAGATCAGTGTGAACACGGTCTTGGGTTCGATCACCAGCACACCAGCAAACCTACATGTTACATACATGTTACATAGGTGCTACTTAAGACCCAGTAGAAGTAAGGAAGCTGAGTCTGCCTTGGCCAATGGTCTGTATCTTCCCAAAGATACCTTTGGGTTCTTCGCAAACCAAACATACAAACACCCCTAAATAAATGAATAAAAACAATCTTACTCTGAGTTCCTACTCTTCCCTCAACACCACCCAACATGTGTTTCTTAGCAGGTGTAATATTGGACCCTGGGTGGGACAATTTTTGGTTTTCAGGACCTGCCTGCACATCAGAATGCTGTAGTATCCCTGGCCCTTAGCAGTATAGATGACCCTCCCTTACCACTGTGACAATTTAAAATGCCCTTAACTTTCCCCCAAGTGACTCCCAAGGACATACCCAGGAGAGAGATCTCCAGGTAGATGAAGCCACCTTAGTTGTGAGCCACCAAGTGGTTGCTGGGAATTGAGCTCAGGACCCCTGGAAGAGCAGTCAGTGCTCTTAACCTCTGAGCCATCCCTCCAGCCCTGATGAAGCCACCTTGGGATGCAAACGTACCAGTGAAGAGACAAGTTTTTGCGAAGAGACAGGGCGGAGAAATACAGAGTCACTCACGTAAACTGCAGAGCCTTTCTGCGGCCCTCCTCTGGGTGACTCCTCTTCGATACTCACTCCAGAAGCGTCGCTGTGAGTGTTTGATGGGAAACACGCATGTTGGAAGCAAGGGTGGAAATAGCAGAGCCGTAGCGGTAATGGTGGAGGGAGCTGACAGTCTCGTACCTCTCCTAGACATTTCCCATACCCCTGAAAACTGCCGAGGGGATGTGCCCAGACGCATCCCAGGACGCCCGGTGCTAATGCCACACTCTTCTATTTGTCTAGAAGTGGCTGTGGCGGAAGTTGTTTAAGTGGGCAAACGGACATATTTATCTTCAGCACACAGAACCTAGTTCTCCAAGATGGCCGGGCATGGCTGCAGCCTGCGTTAGTTTGCTGAGGATGTTGTAACAAAGGGGCCACAAGCTGAATGGCTCAAACAAGAGAGGTCTGTTCTCCCACCGTTTAGGAGGCTGGAAGTTCCCAATAAAGGTGTTGGCAGGGCCCGCCTGTCTTGCGTCTGGTGGCTTGCTGATATCAACTGGCGCGCTTAGGCTTACGAAACTTTCCCCACGCTCATCATACACAGTATCATTCCTTTGTGATCATTCCTTTTTATAAGGCACAGTTGTGTTGACTCCTACCGAACCTCAGTTGCATCAGTGAGGACTTTCTTTCTAAACAGAGCCATTCTGTGGGGCACTTGGAGGTGAGGACCTCACAAATGAATTTGGGAAGAGTCACACAATGCAACTCTCCGGCCATGAACTGCCATCCATTGTCCACTGAGAGAAGAGTTAATTTCCGATTTCCTTCATTCATACCTCACAGGACCCTTGAGCTAAAGCTCTGCTTAACAACAAATGTACATGGAAACTGGTACTAGCCCAGTCGAGAGAAAGCCTCTCTCTCTCTCTCTCTCTCTCTCTCTCTCTCTCTCTCTCTCTCTCTCTCTCTCTCTCTCTCTCTCTCTCTCTCTCTCATCTATCTATCTATTTCTCCACATGTTGCAACTTGAGATTCCCGAGGCAACCAACAGAAAGTATTTGATGTGTCTAATCTGCTCCAGTAGACACAGCTGTGACAGGTGTGTCACATTTTTTTTTCCCTCTGAGGATCCCAAAGTACATTTGATGACTAAAAACAGCTGGGCTTTCGGGCTACCCTATCAGAGGAGGCACCTGCTGGGTTTAGCTGTGGAAGGCAGGAAGGCGTTTGTCGAAGAGCAATGGCATTTGAGAGAGCGTGGGGCCAGCCTGATGCCATCGGAAGTCGGGGAGGATTCGTTCAGTGCCCTTTGGGGAAGGTCCTGTTTAGCACTTAAGATGAGCAGGCACCGGGGAGCTTAAAACCTAGAGAGAAGAAAGACAAGCACACAAACCCTTGTGAGGAACGGTCTGAAGGCAGTCAACACTCTACCTCAACGGCAAGCAATAACGTCTGGACATGTAGGGTGGTGGACACGCTCTAAAGGGACACCATTGGAGCTGAGACCTGAAGGCTCTCAGCCTGAGGGGACAGCTCAGGCAACAGCCCTGAGTTGGACGTGACTTTGGTGTGCTTAATGGATGACTGAAGCTATTCTGTGGAAGAGGCAGGCAAGAGGCTGGAAGGAGAAGTGTAGGCACTGTGGGTTGGCATGGGGTGACAGGACTGTCACCAGACACTTTAAGAAGCCGCTGAGGGATTATAATCAAGAAAGTGATGGGATTTGATTTCTGCTTTTAAATTAATCACAATTAACTTTGTTTGTTTTTAGGCAAGGTCTCCATGTATAACTGAAGCTGGCCTTCATCACGGCAAATCTCCTTCCTCGGCCTTCTGAGAGCTAGGACTATAAGCGTGTACCAGAGCACCCAGCAGGTATTTATTTATCCATTTGTTTATATATTCATTGGTTTTCAGAGATGGGGTTTCTCTGTGTAGCTTTGGAGCCTGACCTGGAACTCAGTAGATCAGGCTGGCCTGGAACTCACTCTGTAGATCAGGTTGGCATCAAACTCACAGAGATCCCCCGCCTCTGCCTCCCGAGTGCTGGCATTAAAGGCGTGCACCACCATGCCCGGCTGCAGGTCTTTATTTTAGAGCAATCCCTCTCCTCACGGTTCAGAGTGGCAAAGAGTCGTGGAGAACCATGTTCGTGACGCTAACTCAGGAGGCAGAGGTAAGATTGCAAATTCAAGGTCAGTTTGCACTATCCAATAAGCTTCAGACGAGGAAGAAGGAAACTTGAAAGCACGCCATGTTGATAAAGATGTGGGAAACAGAAGATGAGCATATTTTTTTGGTGAAAATATTAAGTTAGTGTAGACCCCATGGGGATACATGTGGCAATATTTATCAGAAATAAAAATGCATAGATCTTTGACCCAGTACTTTTTTCCTCATGAGTTCGTCCACAGTATTTCAAAATTAGTACAGACAAAGTTATTCATGGAGACTTTGCATGTCATTACCAAAGACTGGAATCTGAATAGTGAGAAAGGACCAACATGGTGTTGGCTGTCCGCCTGACCCGCCGTGGGAGGTTATCGTTGTTCAGATGTCTCTGGTCCCTGACGGACGCGCGTGACACTTTCTGTTGCTGCTGCTGTTTGTTATAAGTTTGATCGCATCTAGTGATCGATTGGTCGATTGTGTGCATGTGTGAGCATATGTATCTGTGCTGGTGTGCACATGCCACAGAACATGTGTGGGAGTCAGGGATCAGTTTGTGGGAGTTGGTTTTCTCTTTCCATCATGTGGGGATTAAACTCTGGTCCCTGGGGTTGGTGGTGAATGTCTTTAACTCCTGAGCCCCTTTGCTGTTTTGTTTTTGAAACCGTCTCATTCTGTACACAGGCTTTTACTACGCAACCCAAATTGGCCAACGCTCACAGCAATCCTCCTGCCTCAGACATCTTGGGGATAGAGGATGTATGGTACCACCACAGACAGGCAGCATATCCTAAGCAAGTATTAGGAGTACACATACCAGTGTGATAGCATTGTCTCCTCTCATGGACAATGCTAGCAAATCTGAGTCCAGAGCCCAGGGGAAGCTCAGAATAGGAAAAGCCCTCTGACAAACGGTTGACCGCTGTCTTCACAACAGCCGGCCCCAGAGAGTCCCTGACTGCTCGGCATAGAATTTCTGGTGTGACTGACTGTAAGGACCTGTCCACTCTGAAAGCTGCTTTACAGTCAGGCAAACTGAGACTAGCTCTGAGGTGGCAAGATTTTTATGTTTTACCAGCCCAACTAAAGTGTGTGTGTGTGTGTGTGTGTGTGTGTGTGTGTGTGTGTGTGTGTGTGCATGCACATGCTTGCACTATGTGGTCAGGCATGACTGGCTGGGGAATTTCACGGTGGTAAGAGCTTAAGAGTTAGGAGTGTTTGAGAGGTGGTTCAAGGACAGGCTGTGTCCATGGGCTGTCGAAGGCAGAGCTGTCGGATGATTTCCAGACTAAACAAAAAAGAATGAAGCACAGCCCCCTACATCCCAGTGATCCTAGGCTCCACTGAGGTCCCCATGTACTTACTGTCCATTAAGCACACCCCTGACCACCCTAGTCTGAGCGGGGATGGAGGTGGCATTTTTGGTGATTTGGGGCTGGAAGGACAGTCTATCCCTTCCAGCTCCTTCTAGTTCCTCTTCTCATTGCTGACCTGATGAAAGGCAGCCTGAAGGCAGAGGAGGAGTTTGGCTTTGGCTCACAGTCTGAGGAGATCTGGTCCCTGGCAGCAGATGTGGAGGCAGGAGCCCGAAGCCAGGTGTCACAGAGAGATCTGTGCTGGCACTCAGCTGACTTCCTCCTCTTCACTCAGCTCAGGACCCCAGCCCACAGGGTGGGTCTTCCCTCTTAGACACACCCATGGACGAGTCTCCTTGGTGATTCAAAACCCCGGGCAAGGTGAATGGGAGACAGGTATTTCCTTCCCCCTGCCAGCTGGCAGCGGGGTCTGGGCTGGTGCCTCAGTTTCTCGGGATTCTAGCAAGGTGGTCTGGAAGGCAAGGGGGAGGAGGGGAGGAAATGAGGAGGGGGAAGAGAGAGGAAGAAGGAAAAAAGGGAGAGGGGAGGAGGGGAGGAGAGGAAGGGGAGGAAGAGGGGAAGAAAGGAAGGAGCAGGAGGTTTGCCTCCCTGCGGATTTGACTCATGGCTGTGACTTATCAGCACGCTGACGCTGCCGGGGCCTCTTGTTTTTCACTCCAATGAAACTTTTGTTGAATGCCTGAGAGGAAAGTATGACACATTCACACAATCAAAACCCTTCTGCGGGGAGTGAAAATAATCAGTCTCATTGTGTATAGCCTTGAAAGCCGGAGAGTGTCATTTAAAGCATAGAATCTAAAGTCTAAATAGACTTATCATACTGATTGAATGCTCTGTGTGTGTGTGCATGTGCGTGTGCATGCACGTGTGTGTACGTGTTTGTGTGTGTGCACACGCATGTGCGAATACATGTATGTGTGTATTGTGTATGTGTGTATGTGTGTGCATGCATGTGTATGTGTGCATACGTGTGTATGTGTGCTTGTGCACATGTGTGCACGTGCATGTATGTGAGTGTGTGCATAGCATGTATGTGTGCTTCTGTGAGTGTGTTAGGTGGAGTTGTGTAGGGGAAGGCAGACAGAGCTAGGATCTGGGTGGTATGGGCCGGGCACAGAGGATCCTCCCAGGCAGACGCCCCTCAGCAGGTCCAGCACACTGTAGGGCACATCCTGGGTGCCTTGGGGGCGGGACTCAGAAAGGGCTGGATGAGCTGTGAACCACAGCAAACTTGGGGGAAGCTGTGTGACTGGACTGCCATCTGTGAACTCGCTGTCACCCACAGCGAGGCTCGCTGACCTTGAGCACACAGACTTGGAGCTCGGGCCTTTGAACCTACGGCTCCATTCGGGTGCCCACGGACCCTGTGACGCTTCCCCCAATCCCTAAGGCTTACCACCTGCTGCCTGCCCTGTTAGCTGCCACTAGCACAGGGCTTTGCCAGGGTGTTAGCACCAAGAAGTGGTGTGTGTGTGTGTGTGTGTGATGTATACATACATGCTGCATGTACACACGCATGCACAGAGAAGCCAGAGGTCAGTCTCCAGTGACGTTCCCCAGGAGCCGTCCACCTTTTTTGAGGGAGAAACTCATGGCCAGCCCCAGGGATCTACCTCTCTCCCAGTCCTGGGATTAGAACCACCACCATGCCTGGGTCTTTACAACAGATCTGGAGTTAAAGCACGGGTGTCTGCATGGGAAATACCATTTCACCAGCTGAGCTGTGACCCCGTCCCGGAAATAATCCTCACATCACTTCATCTCCTTTCCCTCATAGACTCGGGACATTTTCTTTTCCCTGAGAACCTCAAAGTGTCTACACCTTTTTCATCTACCCTTAACTTCCCAGCAACTCACTTCCCCTAGAGCCAAACACTCGCTGCTCCTCAACTGAACTACTGTCTGCCAGCTCTACGGTGTTTTAAGTCTTCCGCACCGCCCCCATGGAATCTTTCTCCTCCTAGTCCAGCATCAATCCCACGGTCGGCCATTATATTACACATTAGCTCCCCTGCCCTTTCCCGCTGTGTACTGCGCACAGTTGCAGGTCTGGTTAATCCAGCAGCTTGTTTACGCCATACCTAAGCGTCACCGCACGCCCCCCCCCGGCAGCCCCGCCCCCAGCAGCCCCGCCCTCAGCAGCCCCGCCCCATCTCGGCAGCCCCGCCCCCACGCTTCATCACCGATGGAGAAATACAAAACGCTCCTCTATTTTACTTTCAATCTCCCGTGAGTCTTCAGTGCTAACCCTAACCCAACTGCACTCTCCATCCGCCTGACCTCTCTCCTACCTGATGGTTCTGCTTTCTCCCCCTCTACACCTCCACCTTACCTTCCTCTGCTTGGTGGCGTGGCTTCTGCTCTTACGTAGGAACTAAGAAAGTCAGAGGGGGGGGGGTCTCAGCAGCCCCTGTGACCAGGTCTACTCCTCTAACTTCCGGCAAACCCACATCCTGCTCCCTGCCACTGATCGAATAATGCCTGCGCCCTAATGCCCGGAACCTGTGACTAGTTTGTCTCCGTGGCAGAAAGAGCGTGGCACCATGTAGCTGCCAAGGAAGACAGAGATCTGAGCATCACCAGTAAGCCAAGACCACGTGGAGTACATAGATTAATAGACATGGGTTAATAATTAAGAGAGAGCTAGCCAATAAGAAGCCTGAGCCATCGACCAAACGGTTTAAACTTAATATAAGCCTCTGGGTGTTTATTTGGAACTAAAGGGCTTCAGGATGGGGCAGGACAGAAACCTCCATCAGCAGGCAACAGCAAGACATGAAGTCACTCTCCTGGAGCCTACAGAAGAAATGCAGCCCACCTGGATTTTAGAAATTGTGGCCTTTAGAACTGTAAGATAGCCGGGTGGTGGTAGGGCACGCCTTTAATTCCAGCACTCGGGAGGCAGAGGCAGACAGATAACAGAGAGTTTGAGGCCAGCCTGATCTATAAGAGCGAGTTCCAGGACAGGCTCCAAAGCCACAAAGAGAAACCCTGTCTAAAAAAAAGAAACTGTAAGATAATAAATTTGTGCCATTCTCTAATTGTGAGACAGGCTCTTGTTATATAGTCTTGGTTGGCTTGGACCTTGCTAGAGAGTCTATCTACCATCTAACCTGGGGTCCTCCTGCCTCAGCCTCCTGAGTACCGGGATTACACATGTATCCCCGTGCCTGGTTGGTGTTTCCGTGAAGCCCCTGGATTTGTGCTGGTTACACGTTTAACGTCAGTGGCTTCTCCCACACTCCAGCAACCAGTAACCTCTGTTACACTGACAGGTTGTCCCCTCTCCTGGATATTTCTCATTAACACAGAAATGCAGTGTTGGCTTTGTTTTCCTTTAGTAGAAACAAAGTAGAAGACACCGAGACTCTATTCTCGTCTAGCTTGGAGTCTGACTCTCCGCAGCGCGGGAGAGTCTGTCTTTGCTCTCATTCTGTGAAGCACACGCACACACACACACAAGCTCTTTAGTTGGCCACCCTCACGCTATGAACCTTCTCCTGCCAAGGTCACAGATGAACCAGTGTCAACACGCTCGTCCGTCTATCCTGTCTTGCTTAGTTAGCTGAGCCACCCGAGGGCTTGACACAATGGCTCACTCCTCTCAGTGGGTTCTCAGATCTCCCTCCTGCTCTCCTGGCTGCTATTCTGCCTTCCTTGTCTTCTGAGCTCTTGGGTCTGCAGATGTCAGAGCCCCAGGGACTGCCCTCAGGTCTTCTTTATCTATTGCCAGTGGTTCCATCCAGCCTCGTGGCTAAAAAATGTCTTCAGTAGGTCAGTAACTCCCGGCTAGTTTTCATTATGAAGCTGGCTGGATTTAGGATCACCTAGGTGACCTAGGATCACCTGGGGGACATATTTCTGGATGTGTCTGGGCTTTCTCCAGAGGTTTGACCGAGGAAGGCGGGGTTCCCCATTGAATATAAAGGAAAAGAGGAGATAGATTGCGGGACAATGCCTTTGTTTAGCTCTCCGCTTCCTGAGTGTAGATGAACCGTGACCCGCCTCAACACAACCCCTACTGCTATGCCTTCCCTGCCACAAAGGACTGCACCGCCTCCAACCGTGAGCCAAAGAAAACCCTTCATTCCTTAAACTGCACGTATCGGGTGTTTTTGTCATGGCAATAGGAAAAGTAGCAAATGCAACTCTCAACTCTGACGTTCTAGTCTGTGTACCCAACTGACTCTGTCTGTTGCACCCTTCCTCCATGGGGGTCTGCTGACCAGCTTGTGACTAGGAGCTTTTAGCAAAACACCCCTTGTCCCCTCCTCCCAGTAAGGCCTGCCTGCAAGTTCCTGTTTTCTGCCCATCCTTATTGTCTAAATGCTAATTCCTGTTATCGGCACACCCTTCCCCGGAGGGCCCTGGGACCATAACATAGGCTTCTGACCTTGGTGGTTTTTCACCATGCCTGCTCTTGGTATATAATGCTCTGCTCTTGTTAAAATAAACGCCATTCCCCTTGTAAGAATGAGCCGCTGTCTTTGTCTTCATTTACATCCTTAGCCCTTCGCCCAGATCTTTGTGAAGTGTTGTAAGCCCTGTAAACGGCCAACAGCACACTGCAGTTGTCCAGTCAGGGACCCGGTGTGCAATGTTAATTGAGTGTTCCTGGTTACCCTGACCCCTCTGGGACTGCACCTCCAGTTTACACTCTTCCTCCCACAGATCTTTTCATCTCCGTGGGCAGTCACGCTGTCCTGATTTTCCCCGGTGAAACCCTGGAGCTGTCCTTCTCTGTCACCTCGATGCGATTCCCCCAGCAAACACTTTCTCTCTGCCTTCGGAACACACTCAGATTTGTCCTTCTCCCTCAGAGCGCGGCCATAGCATTTCCATCTGGACCAAGATGAGGCTCAGACTCCGTTCATTTGTACGAGTTCCCACCTGACTGAGCAAAAGCCAAGTCCTCTCAGGGCTCTGTGGGGGCTCTTCCGGATCCGGAGTTACTCAGCCTCGTGTAGACCCCTCCACTCCTGCCAGTTCCTCCAACACGCCAAGCACGCTTCCTCCTGAGCTTCATGGGACTTGCCTGAAGCACAGCTGCACCTGGGCAGAATCCAGAGCTTGGAGCCTACAGTAGTGCTGTCCATCAAAACCCAAGAACAGCCTGGCTGTGGTGGCCCACACCTTTAGTCCCAGCGCTTGGGGGGCAGAGGCAGGTGGATTTCCGTGAGTTCGAGGGCCAGCCTGGCCTATAAAGCTACACAGAGAAACCCTGTCTCAGAAAACAAAACAAAATAAACAAAAACATCCCCACCCTCCATCCCTCGGCCCCAGACAGGATCATTCACGCCAACAACCTCCTAAGGACAGCCAGCCAGGTATACATGCTAAGGACGCCCTCAGTCCCACTGCTCCAGGCCTCACAGAAGACCTTGTCCCTGTGTGACCTTCCCGGAGCCCGCTCCTAGCCCCTGCATCAGCCTCTGCTCCTACCAGCGCCTCCAGGATGTCCTCTCGAAGCTAAGGTTTGAATGATGGATCAAAGCCCCTGCAGTGAGCTAGCTCCACCGCATTTCCGAGCAGCTTTTGATGGCTTTTCTCAGTCACGTCCCTAAATGCCGCCAGAACTCACAGACATAATGGGATTCCTGACGGTCGAATGGTTTATTGGTCTAGGTCGGCAATACCAGGGCTGGGGCTTCCAGAAGTTTCAGAGGTGGCTTCACTTCTGCAGAGGCTGAACATTCAGTCCCGAAGAGGAGAAAGGACCCCCAGCAACTCTAAAGGGACATTGACTGTCACTTGCTGCTCCTAAGCTAAACTGGTCTGGACCACGAGACTGAAGAAGCCGTTTCTTCCCCGGTGCTCGATCTTATCAATTGTTGCCCCCTCCCCCCCCCCTGTCGCCACATCCTGCTTTATCCTGGCATTCATTTATTTCTCTAAACTTTCCTAGCTTGTGACTCCAATCACCTTGAGACGGAAGCCTGGAATAGCAACGACCAATTAAAATGCAGAAGCACTGATGACTGGCGTTGATTAAAACTGCAGGGACACAGGTGATAAAAGGCTGCCTTCTCCTAGGCACAAGCCCACGTCTTTCCCTGAGGTGTGTCTCAGATAATAAACGAACAGACCCTGCTTTCTCTAAGGGAGAGAGATTGCAGATTTTCTTGCTGTATTTGTTTGAAGTTTTGGGTTTTTTTAAATGTGTATGTGTATGTCACATGAATGCAGGTTCCTGCAAAGGCCAGAAGGGGGCGTCGGGTCCCTGGGAACTGGAGTTAGGGGCGCTTGTGAAGCGTGTGGGTGCTGGTAACTGGATCCAGGTTGCCTGTAACCCCCAAGCCATTTCTCCAGTCCTATTCTTACCGTCTTAACGAAGGTTCCATCTTACCCCCCCCCCAAATCCTTCTGACCTTTGCCAGACCCTGAAGTCACGCGATACACACTTACGCAGACATACACACTAAATGCTGGCAGTCAGAGGCACACCGGCCCTCATCCTCCAGGTCCCCGACTTGGGGCATCTCTCATGATTGGTGCGTGGTGTGTGCTGTCCTCACACCCCTGAGACTCACCCTACCTCCATCTCATCTCTCTCTCCTGCCTCCTGGAACTCTCTCCCCTTCTCCATTTGACTGCAGAGCACGAAACCTTTAGTGCAACGTCTTGGGCATTTCTCCTTTGTCCCCATGTCACCGTCAGCTCTGGTGAGCCCGAGAACAGTCTGCTGTCTCTGTTAAGTCCCTTTAGGTGACACCCCAGGGTTCTCAGCTCCCAGATAGCCCACAAGATTTTCAGACGGAGGCATCGAATCCGGGTGAGCCATCAGGTTTGGGTGACTGGCGCTGAGCCGTTCCCCTGAAAGGGCTCCCCCTGCTTCCAGACGGCACAGTTATTCTGTCCTTCTGTGGGCAGTGTGAGCCCCCGTGCTGTGGCCTGTGGCTGCTACGCTTGTGAAGCGCACATTCCCTCACAGCCTTTCTCGACACCGCGGCCATCTTTGGGACCCCTGCAGCACTAGAGAAAGGATTTTGTCCTTGGTGCTTTAGACTTCACTGCTGTGGTTTGAAGGAGGACGCCCCCCGCCCACCCCGTGGGCTCCTAGATCTTCATACGTGGTCCCCAGCTGGTGGAACTGTTTGGGAAGGACTGGGAGGTGTGGCCTTGTTGGAGGAGGTGCGCCACTGGAGTTGGGTTTCAAAAACCCAAGCCATTCCCAGTTAGGTCTCTCTGCCATCTACTTGTGGATCAAAGGTAAGCTCTCAGCTACTGCTCCAGCACCGTGCTCCCTGCCTGCCTGCTGCTGTGCTCCCTGCCATGATGGTCAAGGGCTCTCAATCTCAAAAAAAGCAGCTATGGCTCTACCTCTCTGTGTGGAAGAACGGTGATGCTTCCACAGGCTTCCTGCCTGGTCCTCCTCTGCCTCCTGGGGGCTTTTGCTCTGGGTTGGTTTGGCACAAGTCAGTGATGTTTTGTAAGACCTCGGGCAGGCTGCCCTCTCCAGCTCCTCCCGGGACCACTTTAGTTAGGTTAATCACTCTAAGGCCACTCACTGGCTTTGCATTGGAGTCCTGTGAATTTCCAATCGGGCTGTCATGGACCCTGAACAGGAGCCCCCTTGTCTAACCCAATCCCCTCACTTCCCCAGCAGGCACGGGTTGTTTCCCCGTGAAATCTGTAGGTAACAGAGGGTTGGGCTTTGAGCTGTCCTGAGGAAATCAGCAAGGAATTGTGTAGGCCGCTAATGGAGAAGCGAAGGTAAGGCTTTTGAAAACATTTTTACATTAGTACTAAATGCAGTGGAGACCAAGTCAATAAATAGAAGCCCTTCCTCCTTTACATTGTGTCTGCCAGCGAGGGGAAAGTGATTCAGTGTGGAAGGAAATGAAAATTTAAGTCTCAATTACGAACAACACTTAATGGTATTTGCTATAATATATTAACATACATTATGAATATTAATATGTCCACCATGTGACTAACATAGTGAGGGTGAGTCTGTGTACGCGTGTTCTTATACAGCATAAAGACTAAATTCTACTCTATAGAAGGAAGTTAACAGGTGTCTAAAACTAAAGCATCATGAACTACACTGCCGGAAGAAAATGCCCAGCACGTATCTGAAAGAGCGGACAGTGTTTTTCTCTGAAAAGTGACAAGAAAGGGAGATGGGGAATTTCCACTTAAACCTTTATTCATGTCCTATTTTGCTCCTCTCCTGCTGTGGTAGAACGCTGACCGGACGCAACTTGAGGGAATAAAGGGTTTATTTAGCTTGTAGGTTACAGGTCCCTCATGGGGGGAAGGCAAGCCAGAGCTCAGGGGAGGAGCCTGGAGGCAGGAGCTGATGCAGAGGCCACGTGGAGAGGTACCCCTGACTGGCTTGCTCAGCCTGGTTTCTCACAGCACCTAAGACGAGCAGCCCAGGGATGGCACCGCCCACAGTGGCCCTGGCCCTTTCCCACCAACCAATAATCAAGGCATTGCCTACAGACATACCTACAGGCTCCTCTGATTGATGGAGGCCGTCCCCCAAGTGAGACTCCCCCAGACAGCTCAACTGTGTCAAGCTGACAGCTGGAGCTAGCTAGAAGGATCGCTGTGAGCAAAGCTGACATTAAAGGTAATTTCGGAATCAGCCCACTTGTTTCCCCCCCCCCCCCCCCCCATAAAACTAGAATCCAGAGAGGGACATTTTCACCTCCCCGGGTATTTTGTCTTTGGATGGAGTGTGTTTTCTGACTCCTTCCTTTCCCTGTTAATATAGAACAGTAGCTTAGAAACCCTGCACAGCGCAAAAATCTTCAGCCTGATATTTGACTTGGAAACTGATTTTATGATTAGATTTGACATAGGTCATCAATTATATTGGAAAAGTCGGCCGAGAGCAAAGTGAAATACTTTCCGTTGTGCCCAGTCTGCCTCCTACTCCGCTCTTTCTGAGCAGCACGCCAGTGGTAGCTCTCAAGGGCCTCTTTCAAGTTCTCCCAATGTCGCTTGGAACCAGCTGTCAAACTCGGTTGCTTGGAACACCCCCACTCGGTTAAGCATCTTCACTAATCCTGTAAGGTATTTTTTTTTTTTAAGTCTGCCTATGCATTTGCCTTTGGAGGCTGTTTTTCGGTTGCCCTGGATGGCCTGGAAACCTCTACATAATTCCAGGCTGCCTTCGTGGCAATCCTCCTGTCTCAGCTTGCGGTGTGCTAGAGTTACTGGTGTGCGCCTCCTTGCACGGCTTCCTGTCAGCGTTGACTATACATTCCGGTATACTCAGTACTCACAGGAGGCTGGGGGAAGTGGTTAAGAAGTACTCCCTGCTTCTTAAAGAGCTTAAAAAGCCAGTGTAAGAGAGGAAACCCAAGCCAATAAAACCCAAACAAAGACAAGACAAACCAAAAACTCGGGTGGGCAAGCGTGACTGACAGGAGGACGCTCTGTCTGCCTCCTGGGCTTGGGAGAGCAGGGATGGAGGTCAGCTCAGACATCTTGTATTTAAAACTGTCTTTCTTCAATCCTCTGCCTGGCTGTGCCCTGCTCTCCTGCCCCTCACCTGCAAGTGTCCCTGACCCAGCTGTCAGTCTGAGGAGTGGTCCCAACCCTGCCCTGGGGAGGGGGACTGTGTTTTGGGAGCTCAACCCCTTTCTCCACCCATGTTCCTGTGTGTGAGCTGAATCAGAGGAGGGTATCGTTCACTGCAGGGAGGAATGCGTCTGGGAAAGAGGCCTCTCTTCCCTGCGCTCCCTGAATATGGAGGAGGAGGAGGGTGTGGGAAGGACTGTAGGGGCGTGGCTCAAAAACTCAGGCCTGGTAAGAAGCAAGGAGGAGAAGCTGAACTCTGACCTGTGCCCTGTGGACTCCCAGAGAATTCCCATTTCCTCCTCCCAGGCCCCACTCAAGGCCTGCCAGGTGGCCTACCTTCTCCTGACTCCACCAACCCACTGGAGCTGGAGGCTGGCCAAGTGTTGACTAATGGCCCCAGAGACCTGCAGGTCTCCTGAGTCCATCCTGAGACCTCCCAGGGGTTTGCAGATCACCTGGCTGTGACCTGGCAAAGCTGGCACCCTGGCCCCTTGCCCTATCTGCAGGGACGATGTGACACCGCCCCTGCTCAAGTCCTTTGTAAAGCCTCCTGGGAGGCACACGAGGCCGGGCTGAGATGCTGCAGAGACACAGCTTCCTGCGTGCCTTGCACGCTGGAGGTCCTAGGGTTCAGTTGTCCCATCCCCCCTGACTGCAGGACCGCAGAAGGCAGTGGCATCCTTGAGATTAAAAAGTGCTCTAATCATGATTTGCATTTTTTATAATTTTTTTGACCTAGTTTATTTTCTTTTTCTTTTCCTTCTTTTTTTTTTTGAAAAGGTTTCCAGTTCCTTTTCTCTTGAGCATAGAGGTTGTGTTAGTTTGCCTTTGTGTGGGCACGGTGTTTGCAGCAGGCGTGGGAGGGCCTCGAGCTGCACCACTGTGTGTGTGTGTGTGTGTGTGTTTGTGTGTGTGTGTGTGTGTGCACGCGCGCGCGCAGGGGAGCCAGCTTGCTTGAGCTGTGGCTGGCATCCTGGGGGAGGGGCTGGAGGGGAAGGAAGGAAGGAAGTGGAGGGAGATGGGTAAGGATGGCTCCTCCCCTACAACGTTTCCTGTGCCTTCCTGTCCTTCTTCCCTCCTGCCCGCCCCAGCTGGCCTTCCTTCCTGAGATGTTTCAGAAGACAAGGATGCCCAGACCGGCAACACTCCTATTCCCATAGTCCGGGAAGGAATGCTTTTAAAGATGGCCTGAGGCACTGGAACGACGGCTGAGGTGCTAAGAGCATTTGCTGCTCTCCCAGAGGATCTGGGGGTTCAATTCCCAGCACCCACGTGGCAGCTCACAGCTGCCTGTCACTCTTGTTGCGGGGATCCAGCATCCTCTTCTGTCCTCCCTGGACACCAGACACGCAAGTGATACACTTCCATATATGTGGTCAAACACTCATAATTAAAATAACAAATAGAAAATCTTTACTCCCTCCCCCCCCAAAAAAATACTGGGCGTGGTAGTACTCGTCTTTAATCCCAGCACTTGAGAGACAGAGGCAGGTGGATTTCTGTGAGTTCCAGGCCAGCCTGGTCTGCATAATGAGCTCCAGGAAAGCTAGGACTACATTAAGAGAGTTTGAGATAGATAGATAGATAGATAGATAG